CGACACCTTGTGATCACACAGGCTGATATGTTGTTCCATGTGGGCTTTGTTGCTTCTGAGCTAGATGGCCGCTTGTTTACCTTCAAGCTTTTAAGGGGGCCGTTCTATTGCACACAGTGTCAAAAGCAATAGTAATGGAAGGTGGTAGGAAACAACACAGTAATGCCCAGTCGTGTGCAGGGTGTGTAAATTTACCTTCTCTGCATACTAGACAGTGTTTCTTTTAAACTGTAGCATTTGTTTTATGAGATCCCAAGTATATCTTTGAACAATTTTCAAATAACATATGAATCTGTGGTCTGATAGGAAACCAATAATAGCAATAACAGTAACTTTTTTTCTTTCTTTTTGAGCATTCTATTACTTACTTGCAATATCTTATTCAACCCTGTAAGGAAGGCACTAATATCTGTATTAAGGAATGAGTAGTGTAAGCTTAGAAATCCGAAGTAGTCTTAGATTGTAAATGGTGTGGCTGAGAGTTGACCCCGGCCCTGGTGGCGCAGTGTGAAATGTTAGGCTGCTAACCCAAGGTCGGATCCAGCCGCTGCTCCTCGGGGGAAGGATGAGCGGTGCGCTTCCATAAGAACTCAGAGTCTCAGGCACCTGCAGAGTCTGGTGGGGTGGAGTCACCTGAATGGCAGTGAGTTTTGTTTTCTCCTTGTTAGGCTGGTTCTGTTCAGTCAGGACATTTGCTTATGGTTTGAACACTGAAATGTTTTTTTATTATCTCAGTGTGAAACATGCTATGGAGATATAAAAACTAGGGAAGCTCTGCCTCATTTCAAAAGAATATAAGCAATTTGAGAGCATGGCTGACTAATGTCTTTCTCTGGAAACAGTACATTTGTCAACCCCTGAAGGGAAATTATCTCTAAGAGATGGAAATAACAAAAGTCTGACCTTCCCCTCTTGGAAGAGCCCATGAAGAGTCGGTAGGTAATGGCTCCACTTCTGCTGCTTAGGGATCGCTCGCTCATCAAGGGCCTGGGATGAATCCAGCTCTTTCTCAGAGGTCATGTTTGACCATGACCTTGGCCTCTGTGCGGGTGTCATCTAGGTAATTATTTGAAATAGGTTTTCAAGTATTTCGGCAAGGCTAAATTTTTTTTCCTTGCTCACTTGTCCCTGTTCTAAACTGTGAGGGGAGCTTGGCCTGTCCTGTTGTGCCTGCGGCCCACAGCCCTTCACGGCGTGGCTCGCTCCCTAGTGAGCACGCCTTACGCCCAGGGTCAGGCTCATCAATGCGCTGATCTCTTCCTCCTCCTCTCTGTATGTCTTGTTTTAATGTCTGTTGACAGAGATAGCTTTTGCGAATATGCGCATTAAACCATTATCAATTTTAATGTCCATAAGCATAGCCATGCTTTTTGAAATTAACAAATGTAATGATTAAAACAGCAAGGACGAAGGACTAGTTTGAATTTACTCTGAGTTTCCATAATCTTGTAATAACTTCTTGAAACCAGTTGCATCCTAGCCCCAGGTGTGGATGGTTTTATATTTTGATTTTGGCTGGAAAACAGTTTCTGCTGAATCAGTTTTGACCCAGGGCGACCCTGTGAGCTTCAGAGTCGAACCGCGCTCCATAGAGCTGGAGGACTGGGGCTTTTCAGAAGCACATCGCCAGACCTTTCTTCCAAAATGCCTTGGTTTGGGGGCATGGAGGGGGATTTGAACCAACAACCTTTCCATTGGAAGCATTTTGACCATTTAAAGGGCTTCTTTTGACTTGTTGGGTGTTCACTAATTTGCTGACATTGCGTGGTATTCCGGAGAAGCAGCAGGGGAAGAACTAGACTGAGAGTAAAATAGCAGCCAGTGGGTCTCGGGGAGGAGACGAGCCAGTCAGGGTGCCATGTAGCAACGATGAAAAATACAACTT